GTGCAGCGGCTCTGCCTTGCTCGGACCCCCAGCGGCTTCTACTGGCACTGGGTTTCCAGCCCGTTCGCCCTCCTCTGAGGCCCGGGGACAGGTGTCAGGCAGAACAGGTTCCCTCCCTGGTGACTTGAGGGTGTTGGGAAATGTGCTGGGAGTTGGGTCTCAATGTTCAGGTGGGGTCAAGCCCTGGGGAAAGGTGAGGGGCGGGCGCCCAGTGGGGAGGACGGTGTGGCTGGAGCGCCCCGGCAGGAAAGCCAGGCCCGGGCCTCCCTCACGGCCCAGTGTCTCGGGCCGCGGTGCCACAGCCGCTGGCAAGAGCTGCTGTTCCCTCCACTTTGGCCATTTGACTGCACCGGGCTGCGGTGAGATCAGCCCCGTGCCTTCCCAGGCCCAGGTGTCCCGAGTCCCGGCGTGTGCCCTCCGTGGTGCCTGCAAGGGGGCGAGGCCCGGGGCCTGAATCCATCCTTGGCCGCCACGCTCCAGCCCCGGTTCCTGGCCCCTGGCTTGGCCTTGGGCGCCCTCCCCTCACAGAGCTGTCCCTCGACACCTGGGACATCATCACCCTGCCAAGGCCCTGATGGATTTGAGGGCACGGTGGGCAGAGTGGTGAATAAGACATGGTTAAACAAAGTGTAGACAGGGTATGGATTCTTTTTATTATGGAATAAGTTTCATAATAACAAAGCAGTTAAGATTCTACCTTTGAAAGTAATGTTTAGGCCTGGCTGGTATGGCTCAGGGGATTGAGTGTCATCCCATGCTCTAAGAGGTCACCGGTTTGATTCCCGGTCAGGGCACATGCACAGGTTGTGGGTCGATTCCCCAGTGGGGGGCGTGCAGGAGGCGGCCAATTAATGTTTCTCTCTCATAGATGTCTCTATCGCTCTCTCCCTCTCCCTTCCTCTCTCTCTAAAATCAATAAAGAAAATTATTTTTTTTTTAAAAGTAATATTTGGTTTAACAATAGATTTAAAGTAAACTGGACCACTCGTGATTAAAAAGTCTCCAGCCCCACTCAGCACGGATGGAGGCTGAGGCCCGTGCGGATCGCCCGCGGGCCAGCCACAGGGACTCACTGGTCCCTGGTCCACAACGAGATGATAGCAAGGACAGGAATCCAACTCGGACTGCCCAGGGCCCAGGTCGTGCCCATGTCACCAAGCGTTCTCTGCACGTTTGCCTGGAGTTTTAGTGAACATTTGCTCCGTCGTCTCAGATAAGGAGACAGTCAGGTTGCGTGACGCGTGGACAGTCTCACAGCAGACGTGTGGCTCAGCTGGGTCATAGCCTCTGTTCGGTTCTGGTGCCCGAGTCCCTTATGATCTTCCTCTGTGGCCTTTTCATCATGGTGACAGCACTCTGCGGGCACCTTGCCTGGTCAAGCCCAGCCTGGACTCACCCTTCAGCCCAAGTCCTGGGCCAGGTGTCACCCCCCACCCCCCGCTCTGGGAGTGGTGCCTGCCCTTGTCCCCGCCCATCGTGGCCTTTCTGGAGGCAGGTTGCTGTCCACCTGCTAGTGACCCGGGCACTCCCAATGATGGTTCCTCCACAGCCCGACCCCTCTGCTGGGCAGTGCACAGCACCAAGCCACCCTCCTCAGCACCCTGGTACCTACATGTCCATGGGCACACCGCAGTCCATGGTGAGGGAGAAGGAGTCTTCAGACACAGCCAAGACCAGCGTGTGCCACCGGCTGTCCATCAGGGCTGGGCTGCGGAAGGACACTCGGGTCTGCCAGGCGCCTGCCGAGTCCTCACTGAGGAAGAGGAAGTGCAGCCGGGTGGGTGAGTACCGCAGGCCCAGCAGCAGCGCGTCCGGCCCCTCCGCCACCACCGTGAACAGGTACTCATTCTTCTGCAAGAGAGGGCAGGTGGTGAGGGCCAGCAGGTGAGGGCAGGTGGTGAGGGCCAGCAGGTGAGGGCAGGTGGTGAGGGCCAGCAGGTGAGGGCCAGCAGGTGAGGGCAGGTGGTGAGGACAGGTGGTGAGGGCAGGTGGTGAGGGCAGGTGGTGAGGGCCAGCAGGTGAGGGCAGGTGGTGAGGACAGGTGGTGAGGACAGGTGGTGAGGGCCAGCAGGTGAGGGCAGGTGGTGAGGGCAGGTGGTGAGGGCCAGCAGGTGAGGGCAGGTGGTGAGGACAGGTGGTGAGGACAGGTGGTGAGGGCAGGTGGTGAGGGCCAGCAGGTGAGGGCCAGCAGGTGAGGGCAGGTGGTGAGGACAGGTGGTGAGGGCAGGTGGTGAGGGCAGGTGGTGAGGGCCAGCAGGTGAGGGCAGGTGGTGAGGACAGGTGGTGAGGGCAGGTGGTGAGGGCCAGCAGGTGAGGGCAGGTGGTGAGGGCAGGTGGTGAGGGAAGGTGGTGAGGACAGGTGGTGAGGACAGGTGGTGAGGGCAGGTGGTGAGGGCCAGCAGGTGAGGGCAGGTGGTGAGGGCAGGTGGTGAGGACAGGTGGTGAGGGCCAGCAGGTGAGGGCAGGTGGTGAGGGCAGGTGGTGAGGGCCAGCAGGTGAGGGCAGGTGGTGAGGGCCAGCAGGTGAGGGAAGGTGGTGAGGACAGGTGGTGAGGACAGGTGGTGAGGGCAGGTGGTGAGGGCCAGCAGGTGAGGGCAGGTGGTGAGGGCAGGTGGTGAGGACAGGTGGTGAGGACAGGTGGTGAGGGCAGGTGGTGAGGGCCAGCAGGTGAGGGAAGGTGGTGAGGACAGGTGGTGAGGGCCAGCAGGTGAGGGCCAGCAGGTGAGGGCAGGTGGTGAGGGCAGGTGGTGAGGGCCAGCAGGTGAGGGCAGGTGGTGAGGGCAGGTGGCGAGGGCCAGCAGGTGAGGGCAGGTGGTGAGGACAGGTGGTGAGGACAGGTGGTGAGGGCAGGTGGTGAGGGCAGGTGGCGAGGGCCAGCAGGTGAGGGCAGGTGGTGAGGACAGGTGGTGAGGGCCAGCAGGTGAGGGCAGGTGGTGAGGGCAGGTGGTGAGGGCCAGCAGGTGAGGGCAGGTGGTGAGGACAGGTGGTGAGGACAGGTGGTGAGGGCAGGTGGTGAGGGCCAGCAGGTGAGGGCAGGTGGTGAGGGCAGGTGGTGAGGACAGGTGGTGAGGGCCAGCAGGTGAGGGCAGGTGGTGAGGACAGGTGGTGGCAGAGGTTGAGGGCAGGGGAGGCCAGCAGGTGAGGGAAGGTGGTGAGGACAGGTGGTGAGGACAGGTGGTGAGGGCAGGTGGTGAGGGCCAGCAGGTGAGGGCAGGTGGTGAGGGCAGGTGGTGAGGACAGGTGGTGAGGACAGGTGGTGAGGGCAGGTGGTGAGGGCCAGCAGGTGAGGGAAGGTGGTGAGGACAGGTGGTGAGGGCCAGCAGGTGAGGGCCAGCAGGTGAGGGCAGGTGGTGAGGGCCAGCAGGTGAGGGCCAGCAGGTGAGGGCGGCAGGTGAGTGAAGGCCAAGAGCACTGATCACCCATGACAGTCAGGCATCAGGAAAACAGAAAGCAGCAAGTATTGGCAAGGATGTGGAGAAATGTAAACCTCATGCACTGTTGGGAATGTAAAAGGGTGCAGCCCCTATAAAAAACAGTATGGCGTTTCCTCCAAAAATTAAAAATGGCACTTCTACCGTTCACCATAAATCCAAGTGGATTGACGGCAGGGTCTCAAAGAGATGTCTGCACACCTGTGTTCACGCAGCGTCACTCACAAGAGCATCATCCACACAGAAGCAACCCAGCTGTCATGGACGGAGGAAGGGATACATAAAATAATGCAGTCTAGCCACAACAGAACATTTTCAGCCCTAAAAAGGAAGTTCCATATCAGCATGGATGCGCCTTGAGGACATGAAGCCGAGTGAAACAAGCCAGCCGCAAAGGGACAGGTCCTGTGCAATTTCACTAACATGAGGTCCCTGGAGTGGTCACATCATAGAGACAGGGTGTAGACCGTGGGTCCAGGGCTGGGGACGGGGACAGGATGTTGGGGTGCAAGAGGACAGACTTTCATTCTGGGAAGACGGAAAGTTCTGCAGGGGACCATGGTGACGGCTGCATGACAATGTGAACTGAACTGCACACTTCACAGTGGTCAAAGTGGTCAACTCCAGGTTATGTGTGTTTTACCACCCCGATCGTGACCTCAAACACGGTGTGACTCAGAGCCCCAGCAACCCCAGCCACACAAACGATATGGAAACAGTGTACACATGATGAGAGGTCATTGTAGTTTAGTCTGTTCATTCCTAGCCTAACACAATTAACAGAGTAAAGAACTGAATGAGGAAACCTGAAGGTGGTAGCGGGTCTGTAACATAATTACAAAGCATCATTTCTCAGCAGTCTTTGGCCACCCAAATTCCATGCAACTAGCATTCTAAAGAAGTCAAAAGCCTCTATGCTCCTCATACTTAATTTAATGCCCAATTCAGCAAAATCCACTTGGCTCAGAATGGGTCCCAGGGCGTCTGGCCACTGACCTTCGAGGCCGAGGTGAGGTCCCACCCGTGCCCTATGTAGAGACAGGGTGTAGACCGTGGGTCCAGGGCTGGGGACGGGGACAGGATGTTGGTGTGCAAGAAGACAGACTTTCATTCAGGAATACTCGTGACTGGAGGAGACCTGTCTGGCAGAAACCCTGTGTACCCACGACCCCACCACCGTCATGAAGACAGATGAAGAAGCGATCAGGTGATAAAGTGAGTTTATTGGGGTGCCCGAGAAGGTGCTGACAGGCTGAGGGTGGAGGTCAAGTGACTCAACAGAGAAACTAGGAGGGAAGGACAAGTCACCCAGAGGCAGGTGGAGGCACCTCCTGGGATGCAAAACCCAGGGGGGAGCAGTGACGTTCAGGGATCCTGGGAGCAGAGGTCAGATGTGGACAGTGGAGACCTAGGGGATCCCCTCCTGAGAGGGGGCAGCCACCTAACCCAACTCAGGACCAGAATGAGGGGTGGCTGGGAGAACTGCAGTTATAAGATGGGACCTGAGCCCAGCTGACCCTCATAAGACATGTTAGGTCAGCAGCAGGACGTCTGGGCTGAGGCTGGGACTCAGCAGGCTGGGCGGGAGCACACGGGGCGGCAGACCAGGGACACACAGGAGGCCGGGCGGCAGCAGCTGGACTGGCAAGAGGGGCGGGCACAGCAGGAGGAGACGGGCACGCAGCAGGCCGGCCTGCACACAGGCCTGCACACGGGGCGGCAGATGACAGACATGCAGGAGGTGGGTCTGCAGCAGGAGGAGGGTCTGCAGCAGGATGAGAAGCAGGGGGTGGGCTGGCAGCAGGAGGGGACAGGGCAGGGGGCAGGCCCAGAACAGACGGGCATACAGCACATGGGCTTGCAGCAGATGGGCTTGCAGCAGACAGGTGTGCAGCACATGGGCTTGCAGCACATGGACATACAGCAGGGCTGCTGGCAGGGGGAGGAGGTGCAGCAGGAGGGCTGGCAGCAGCTGGGGGCACAACAGGTGGGCTGGCAGCAGCTGGGGACACAGCAGGTGGGCTGGCAGCAGCTGGGGACACAACAGGAGGGTTGGCAGCAGCTGGTGGCACAGCAGGTGGGCTGGCAGGAGCTGGGGACACAGCAGGAGGGCTCACAGCAGCTCTCTGGACAGTCGTCCACCTGCCAGGAGGAGTCAGTACAAGACTCGGAGGAACCTGGCTGGCAGGCGCGGCTGCCATAGCTCAGGTTGCTGGAGCAGACGGACAGGGTGGACGCGGCCATGGTGGGCAGTGGGCTGGAGCAGGGTGAGTGTGCGAATGTGTGAGTGAGTGTGAGTGTGTGGGGTTCCTGAGGCTGTTGGCTTTTATACCCTCCTGGGTGTTTGTTGTCCAAGCACGTGGCTCCCCACGCCCTCCTTTCCTTGTTGATATTTTGGGCTGAGTCCAAGGAACCCTCACTACTTCCGTTTTGTTTATAGGAAGTTTGCTGCTTGTAAAATGCCTGTCGTGGCTGAAGACTTGTTGACCCCCCTGACCTGTGTGTGGTTTCTTAAGCAAACACCACTGGACGATGCAGAGTCCTGGAACCTGGCAGCCTGCACCTGCCCGGCTGGGCTCCACTCCCAGGGGTTCTCTGGGCACTGCAGGGGAGGGTTGGAGTCCCAGAGGCAGGGACAGGGGCAGACACTGGGACACCTCTGCTGTCTGCTGCAGGACACCCCCAGGCAGAGGCTGGAGACCGCACCCCAGCCGGAGAGAAGCAGGAAGCGGGAGGACAGCACAGAAGGACAGAGTTCTGGCTCTTTGAGCTCCTTTGTCTTACCGAACACGTTCGGATTCAGCTTGTTGATAACAAGAAAAAGCCAGCTGGAATTTTTACCAGGATTGCCTTGAATTATAGATCAATTTGGAGGTTACTGACATCATAGCAATGTCTCAACTCAAGCCGTGAACACGGTCCAATTCTCCATTCATTCGTGTCGTCACTGATTTATTTCATCAGTATTCTTACAGTTCTCATTATGTGCTTGTTCTGTTTGATTTTATACAGGTTTTCATTTTTTATCTTGTTGTAAGTCATGCTTTTACACACAAATTTTGAAATCCAATTGATTATCATTATTCAGAGGTGGGCAAAACTACCAGCCATTGTTACCTAAAATATAAATCTTAAGTAAGGACATAAAATAATAGCAACAATAATAATGACAGAAGTACAAATAATTAATATAATTAATGCAATCATTAATAAATAAATAAATAAGAAAACAAGAAGAAATTCTGTTTCAAGTACTCATAACTGTAAACCTACATTTGCCCACCCCTGTATAGAACTGAAATTAATTTTATTATTTAAATTTTTACTATTCTTCAACCTTGCGAAGCTTTCTTAAATTTCTAGGAGCCGTTTTATAGATTCTGAAGGGTTTTCTAAGTGGACAGTCATGTCCTCTGTGAATAGAGATGACTTTATTTCCTTATTGCTAATAGGTATGCCTTTTATTTCTTTTTCGTGTCTCATTGTGCTGGCAAGATCCTCAGTGTGATGCTGAACAGGTGTCGTGGTGAGGACATCTCTGTCTGTTCCTAGTCTTAGGGAAACATGTTGCCTTTTACTATTGAATACAGTGTTGGCTGTGAGATTGTCAAAGATGCCTTATGACAAGATAAGGACTTTTTGTTTATTCCTAGGTCACTGTAAACTTCTTTTAAAAATCAAACAGGAGGGAACACATCCTAACTCAGTGTATGAAGTAGGTATTACCCTGATACCAAAGCCAGACAAAGACTCTAAAGAAAAGAAAACTACAGACCAACATGCCTTATAAACATTGATGTAAAAACCCTCAACAAAATACTAGCAAATCAAATTTCAGCAGTATATGAAAAGGTTTGCACACTGTGGCCAAGAGGGGTGTAAGGCCAAAATGCAAGGATGGTTCTACATATGATAATCGATCAATGTCATATACCACATTAATAAAATGAGGGAAAAAAGACATGATCATTTCAATAGATGCATAACAACCCCCACATTTGACAAAACTCAACACCCTTTCATGATAAAGACATGGAACAAACAAGGACTGAAAGGAAATGACACATATATGAATATATATGTAAATGAATATAGAGGAAAAACCCACAACAAACATCATGCTCAATTTTGAAAGACTGAAAGCTTTTGCTCTAAGATCAGGAACAAGGCTCACTTTTTTTTTTTTTCAATTGATTTTTTAGAGAGAGAGAGAGAAACATCAATGTGTTTCGGCTGCCTCCTGCACGCCCCACACTGGGGATCAAGCCCGAAACCTGGCCATATGCCCTGACCGGGAATCAAACAAGGATCTCTAAGTCCATGGGATGATGCTCAATTACTGAGCCACGCCGGCTGGGCAAGGATGCCCACTTTTGCCACTTCTATTTTCCATAGCACTGGAAACTCTAGGAGAGAAGATTGACAATGAAAGAAATAAACAGCATCTAAATTGGAAAGAAATAAAATAATCTCTGTTCACAGATGCTATGATAGTAATGCAGAAAATGCTAAAGATTCCACAAAATCTGTCAGAATAAATAAATTCAACAATAAAGCAGGATACAAAGTTGCACTATTGCACACTAATAGTGAATCGTCTAAACAGAAAATTATGGAAATAACTCCATTTACAATAATATAAAGAAGAAAAATATATTTACAAATTAACTTAAACAAGGTAGCCTGCACCATGTAAACTACAAAGCATTGTTGAAAGACATTTAAAAAGACACAAATAAATGGAATGGTAGCCATGTGCATGAATTGAGAGAATTAATATTGTTAATTAATATTAATACTGATGAATCTCTGAGAGAAAGGGGGAGGGAGGAGGGAAGAGATTAACCGAAGAATTTATATGCACATATGCATCGCCCAAGGACACAGACAATAGGGTAGTGAAGGCCTTGGGCGGGGCAGGAACTGGGTGGTGGGGAGCAAGAGCGGACATCTGTAACACTCTCAACATAAAGATTAAAAATAAATAAATAAATAAATAAAACTAAAATTGAAAAATATTTGAATACTACCCATTGTAATCTACAGATTACTGCAATCACTATCAAATTCTTAAAATTCTCTTTTTGCAGAAATATAAAAACCCATCCTAAAATTCATATGGAATCTTAAGAGACTCTGAAGAGCCAAAACAATCCCGAAAAAGAACAAAGCCAAAGGGCTCACACTTCCTGATTTTAAAATGTACTACAAAGCTACAGTAATCCAAAGAGGGTGGTACTGGAATCTTTTCCTTACTCAGTCTCGCTAGTTTATCAAGTTTATTTACTATTTCAGAAAACAGCCTTTCATTTCATTGATTATTACCATTGTTTTACTGTTTTCAATTGCATTGATTTATGCTTTAACCTTTATCATTTCATACTTTATTATTGCTTGAGGTTTAACTGAGGTTTAACTAACTCTCCTTTTTTCATGAAAAAAATAAATTAACTTTGTTTCTTTGTATTTATTTATTTATTTATTTATTTATTTATTTATTTTTTGTTCAGGTAGAGTGGGAGGGAGAGAGAGGAACAGAGAGAGAGAGAGAGAGAGAGAAACATCGACGTGAAAGGAACACATCGAGTGGCTGCCACCCGCACAACCGACCAGGGCCGGGGACAAACTGCAACCGAGGTACGCGCCCTTAGCGGGAACCGAACCCGGGTCTCTCAGGACCGCAGGCCGACGCTCTAACCACTGAGCCAAACTGGCCAGGGCTGTTTCTTTGTATTTAAAGTGCACTTCCTGCCCAGCCAGTGTGGCTCAGTGGATTGAGTATCGTCCCATGGACTGAGAGGTCCGGGTTCAATTCCCAGTCAGGGCACATGCCTGAGTTGTGGGCTCAACACCAGTAGGGAGTGTGCAGGAGGCAGCCAATCGAAGTTTCTCTCTGACATCAATGTTTCTACTTCTCTCTAAAAAAAAAAAAAAAAAAAAAAAAATCAATACAAAATAAATAAAATAAAACCAAATTAAGTGCACTTCCTATAGGCAGCAGAGTGGAGCTTGTTTTTTATCCAACCTGAGAGTCTCTTTTCTGTTCTTGTGTCTTCATCTTTGGGGATTCCAATTACACATCCTCCAGTTCACTAATGCTTTGTCCATTTTTTTTCCCCCTCTCTGTGTCTCATTTAGTTGCTGTTGCTCTGTCTTCCAGTTCATTTGTCTTTTCTTCTACAGCATCTATTCTGCTGTTAACCTCCTTTAGTATACTATTTACTAGACACTGTAGTTTTCCTCTCCAGATGTTCTGTGTTCTTTTAAATCTTCCTCAACCTTCCTTAATATGCTGAAATTGTGAATTTTACCTTATGAGTGCCGGATACTTTGTATTCAAGTGAATATTCTTGACCTTTGGTCTAAGATGTAGTTAAGTTCCTTGGAAATGGTTCATCCTTTAAAGTTTGCATATCAGTTTTGTCAGGTAGGACTGAACCAGAGGTTACACAGGGCCTAACTATATTTTTATCCTCACCCAAGGACATTTTTCCTTTTTTTGTTCAGATAGAGTGGGAGGCAGAAGAAAAGAGAGAGAGAGACAGAGAGAGAGAGAAAGAGAGAGAGAGATAGAGAAGCATCGATATGGAACGGACACATCGTGTGGCTGCCTGCTCCACGACCCAACCAGGGTCAGAGAAAAACTGCAATGGAGGTACGTGCCCTTAGCAGGAACCAAACCTGGGTCTCTCTGGTCCGCCGGCAGATGTTCTAACTGCTGAGCCAACCCAGCCAGGGCCATATAACCCAATTTTAACCAAAGTGGAGGCAATATCCTCTGAGTGGTTTACCACATGTCCTGAGATCTATGATCATGTTCCAACTGGCTGGTGGGATCAGGCACTGCTGTAGGCATGTTTGATTTCTGGGATAATGCCATCTAATTTTGTTGATTTCCCCAATCTCAGTCTCACATGGGTTTGCTGAACATTCCTTGGCTGACATTTGAGGGAGACCCTTAGAGGACCGAGGGCTACTCAGGGCAGCTCTCCCTTCTCTGACACTTTGGCCCTGAACACTAACTGCCTGGGGCTCTCCCAACTCCCAAGGTCCTCTCTCACTCAGGGCTGCGTGGAGCTCACATAGGTTCTCCATTTTTGCACCAGGGCCTGGAAATGTTCTCAAAGTAGCGGGTGAAGCCAATTGGGAGACTCACTTTGTTTCCCTCTTTCAGGGGTCCCCGTTCTGTGATCCTCCAATCAAAACTCTGAATACCACCGCTCTATAATTTTGCTAAGTTTTTGGTGTGGCGCTGGTGGGAAGGTCATCCAGTGCCTCTGAATCCATCAGGGTTGGAGCAGCTCCTCCCTCCATCCAGTCTCTGCTAAGAGTGAAGACCTTCAGGTGGGTGACTGCGCTGGCCCAGGCCCACAGCGCTGTGCATGTGGAGAGCCCAGGCATTTCCTGAGGACACATGTGGGGTGTGAGGTTGTCCAGATGAGAAAGTCGGTAGAAATGGCCTGTGAGGCCTGAGGACTCCATAGACCAAAACTTTTCTGTAGGTGACCAGCCTCAAGGAAGCCCCAGGCACAGGCCCAGCAGGCACTGACCTACCGGGCCAAGGCGAGGCCCACCTGCTGCCCCTCCAGGAGGAGTCAGGCAACTGCCCTGTGGGATTTCTCAGTCACTCATTCCTGGAAATATTCGTGGTTGGAGTTGACCAATGTCTGGAGAACCCCGTGTCCCACTCCGCCTCACCCCAACAAAGTCAGATAAAGAAGTGATCAGTGATGAATGAGTTTATTGGGGTGCCCGAAGAGGTGCTGACAGTGGCGGTCTAGTGACTCAACAGAAAACACGAGGGAAGGACAAGTGACCCAGGGGCAAGAAGGAAAAGCCTCCTGGGAGGCGAGAGCCCAGGGAAGCAGTAAGGTTGGGGGACCCTGGGAGCAGAGGTCAGATGAGGACAGTGGAGACCTGGTGGGGCCCATCCTGAGTGGAGGGAGCTCTCTAACCCTGCTCAGGACCAGACTGAGGGCTGGCTGGAGAACCACAGTCATGGGAGGAGCCTGAGCCAGGCTGGCTCTTGTTGACATGTTAGGTCAGCAGCAGGACGTCTGGGCTGAGGCTGGGACTCAGCAGGCTGGGCGGGAGCACACGGGGCGGCAGACCAGGGACATGCAGGAGGCCGGGCGGCAGCAACTGGACTGGCAGGAGGGGCGGGGACAGCAGGAGGAGACGGGCACACAGCAGGCCGGCCTGCACACAGGCCTGCACACGGGGCGGCAGATGACGGACATGCAGGAGGTGGGTCTGCAGCAGGAGGAGGGTCTGCAGCAGGATGAGAAGCAGGGGGTGGGCTGGCAGCAGGAGGGGGCAGGGCAGGGGGCAGGCCCAGAACAGACGGGCATACAGCACATGGGCTTGCAGCAGATGGGCTTGCAGCAGACGGGTGTGCAGCACATGGGCTTGCAGCACATGGACATACAGCAGGGCTGCTGGCAGGGGGAGGAGGTGCAGCAGGAGGGCTGGCAGCAGCTGGGGACACAGCAGGAGGGCTGGCAGCAGCTGGGGACACAGCACATGGGCTGGCAGCAGCTGGGGACACAGCAGGTGGGCTGGCAGGAGCTGGAGACACAGCAGGAGGGCTGGCAGCAGGTGGGGGCACAGCAGGTGGGCTGGCAACAGCTGGGGACACAGCAGGAGGGCTGGCAGCAGCTGGGGGCACAGCAGGAGGGCTGGCAGCAGCTGGGGGCACAGCAGGAGGGCTCACAGCAGCTCTCTGGACAGTCATCCACCTGCCAGGAGGAGTCAGTACAAGACTCGGAGGAACCGGGCTGGCAGGCGCGGCTGCCATAGCTCAGGTCGCTGGAGCAGACGGACAGGGTGGACGCGGCCATGGTGGGCGGTGGGCTGGAGCAGGGTGAGTGTGCGAATGTGTGAGTGAGTGTGAGTGTGTAGGGTTCCTGAGGCTGTTGGCTTTTATACCCTCCTGGCTGTTTGTTGTCCAAGCACGTGGCTCCCCACGCCCTCCTTTCCTTGTTGATATTTTGGGCTGAGTCCAAGGAACCCTCACTACTTCCGTTTTGTTTATAGGAAGTTTGCTGCTTGTAAAATGCCTGTCGTGGCTGAAGACTTGTTGACCCCCCTGACCTGTGTGTGGTTTCTTAAGCAAACACCACTGGACGATGCAGAGTCCTGGAACCTGGCAGCCTGCACCGGCCCGGCTGGGCTCCACTCCCAGGGGTTCTCTGGGCACTGCAGGTGAGGGTTGGAGTCCCAGAGGCAGGGACAGGGGCAGACACTGGGACACCTCTGCTGTCTGCTGCAGGACACCCCCAGGCAGAGGCTGGAGACCGCACCCCAGCCGGAGAGAAGCAGGAAGCGGGAGGACAGCACAGAAGGACAGAGTTCTGGCTCTTTGAGCTCCTTTGTCTTACCGAACACGTTCGGATTCAGCTTGTTGATAACAAGAAAAAGCCAGCTGGAATTTTTACCAGCATTGCCTTGAATTATAGATCAAGTTGGAGGTTACTGACATCATAGCAATGTCTCAACCCGTGAACACGGTCCAGTTCTCCATTCATTCGTGTTGTCACCGATTTATTTCATCAGTATTCTTACAGTTCTCATTATGTGCTTGTTCTGTTTGATTTTATACAGGTTTGTATTTTTTATCTTGTTGTAAGTCATGCTTTTACACACAAATTTTGAAATCCAATTGATTATCATCATTCAGAGGTGGGCAAAACTACCAGCCATCATTACCTAAAATATAAATCTTAAGTAAGGACATAAAATAATAGCAACAATAATAATGACAAAAGTATGAATAATTAATGCAATCATTAATAAATAAATAAGAAAACAAGAAGAAATTCTGTTTCAAGTACTCATAACTGTAAACCTACATTTGCCCACCCCTGTATAGAACTGAAATTAATTTTATTATTTTAATTTTTACTATTCTTCAACCTTGCGAAGCTTTCTTAAATTTCTAGGAGCCGTTTTATAGATTCTCAAAGGTTTTCTATGTGGACAGTCATGTCCTCTGTGAACAGAGATGACTTTATTTCCTTATTGCTAATAGGTATGCCTTTTATTTCTTTTTCGTGTCTCATTGTGCTGGCAAGATCCTCAGTGTGATGCTGAACAGGTGTCGTGGTGAGGACATCTCTGTCTGTTCCTAGTCTTAGGGAAACATGTTGCCTTTTACTATTGAATACAGTGTTGGCTGTGAGATTTTCAAAGATGCCTTATGACAAGATAAGGACTTTTTGTTTATTCATAGGTCACTGTAAACTTCTTTTAAAAATCAAACAGGAGGGAACACATCCTAACTCAGTGTATGAGGTCAGTAGTACCCTGATACCAAAGCCAGACAAAGACTCTACAAGAAAAGAAAACTACAGACCAACATCCCTTATGAACATTGATGAAAAAACCCTCAACAAAATACTAGCAAATCAAATTTCAGCAGTATATGAAAAGGTTTGCACACTGTGGCCAAGAGGGATGTATTGCCAAAATGCAAGGATGGTTCTACATATGATAATCGATCAATGTCATATACCACATTAATAAAATGAGGGAAAAAAGACATGATCATTTCAATAGATCCAAAACAACCCCCACATTTGACAAAACTCAACACCCTGTCATGGTAAAAACACGGAACAAACAAGGGCTGAAAGGAAATGACACATATATGAACATATATGTAAATGAATATAGAGGAAAAACCCACAACAAACATCATGCTCAATTTTGAAAGACTGAAAGCTTTTGCTCTAAGATCAGGAACAAGGCAAGGGTGCTCACTTTTCTTTTTTCAATTGATTTTTTAGAGAGAGAGAAACATCAATGTGTTTCGGCTGCCTCCTGCACGCCCCACACTGCGGATCGAGCCCGAAACCCGGGCATATGCCCTGACCGGGAATCAAACAAGGATCTCTAAGTCCATGGGATGATGCTCAATCACTGAGCCACGCCGGCTGGGCAAGGATGCCCACTTTTGCCACTTCTATTCTGCATAACACTGCAAACTCTAGGAGAGAAGATAGACAATGAAAGAAATAAACAGCATCTAAATTGGAAAGAAATAGCCCTGGCCGGTTTGGCTCAGCGGTTAGAGCGTCGGCCTGCGGTCCTGAGAGACCCGGGTTCGGTTCCCGCTAAGGGCACGTACCTCGGTTGCAGTTTGTCCCCGGCCCTGGTTGGTTGTGCGGGTGGCAGCCACTCGATGTGTCCCTTTCACGTCGATGTTTCTCTCTCTCTCTCTGTTCCTCTCTCTCCCTCCCACTCTATCTGAACAAAAAAAAAAAAAATGAAAAAATGTCCTCGGGTAAGGAAAAAAAAAAAAAATAAATTGGAAAGAAATAAAATAATCTCTGTTCACAGATGCTATGATAGTAATGCAGAAAATCCTAAAGATTCCACAAAATTGGTCAGAATAAATAAATTCAACAAAATAGCAGGATACAAAGTTGCACTATTGTACACTAATAATGAATAGCCTAAACAGTAAATTATGAAAATAACTCCATTTACAATAATATAAAGAAGAAGAATATTTTTACAAATTAACTTAAACAAGGTAGCCTGTACCATGTAAACTACAAAGCATTGTTGAAAGAAATTTAAAAAGACACAAATAAATGGAATGGTAGCCATGTGCATGTATTGAGAGAATTAATATTGTTAATTAATATTAATACTGATGAATCTCTGAGAGAAAGGGGGAGGGAGGAGGGAAGAGATTAACCAACGAACTTATATGCATATATGCATTGCCCAAGGACACAGACAATAGGGTAATGAAGGCCTTGGTGGGGCAGGAACTGAGTGGTGGGGAGCAAGAGGGGACATCTGTAACACTCTCAACATAAAGATGAAAAATAAATGAATAAATAAATAAATGAAACTAAAATTGAAAAATATTTGAATACTACTCAATGTAATCTACAGAATATTGTAATCACTATCAAATTCTTAAAATTCTCTTTTGGCAGAAATATAAAAACCCATCCTGAAATTCATATGGAATCTTAAGAGACTCTGAAGAGCCAAAACAATCCCTAAAAAGAACAAAGCCGGAGGGCTCACACTTCCTGATTTTAAAATGTACTACAAAGCTACAGTAATCCAAAGAGGGTGGTACTGGTATAAAGACATATAGACCCATGGGACAGAAGACAGAGTCCAGAAATAAACCCTCCCACAGTAGGTCAAATCATTTCTGACAAGGGCACCAAGTCCACTCAATGGAGAAAAGACAGTCTTTTCAACAAATGGTGCTGGGTAAACGAGATATCCCCATGCAAAAGAACTAAGTTACCCATCACTAACACCATATACAAGAATTCAGTCAAAATGGATCCACAACCTAAATGCAAGACCTAAAGCTCTAAAACTCTTAGAAGAAAATAGGACAAAAACTTCACAGCATTGAATTTGGCAGTGATTTCCTGGAGATGACACCAAAGGCACAGACAACATAAGAAAAATATGCAAATTGGACCTTGTGAAAAGTTTAAATATTTTTGCATCACAAGACAATATAAACAGAGAAAAATAGTAACCCAAGGAAATGAGAAAAACATTTGAAAATCATGTATCTGATAGGGGACCAATATATAGAATGTATAGAGAACTAAAAATGAACAACAAATAAATCCAAAAATGGGCAAAGGACTTTAGTAGATATTTTTCCGAAGAAGATATACAAATAGGCAATAAGCACATGGAAAGATGCTGAACATCACTAATCACCGGAGAAAAGCAGATCAAAACTACAAAATATGGCCTTACATCCATTAGGAAAACTAGTATATATAAACAAACAAACAGAAAATAACTAATACTGGTGAGAATGGAGAGGAACTGGAACCCTTGTGCACTATTGGTGTGAACATGAAATGCTACAGCTACTGTGGAAATCAGCATGATGGTTCTCCCTAAAATGGTAATATGATCCTGTAATTCTAAGGGATATATGCTCAAAAGAAATAGAAGCAGGGTCTTGTAGAGATATTGTTAACCCATTTTCATAGCAGCACTATTCAAAATAGCTAAAGTGTGTAAGCAGCCTTGGCCGGGTTGGCTCAGCAGTTAGAGCGTCAGCCCACGGACCAGAGGGACCTGAGTTCCGTTCCCACTAAGGGCATGTACCTCCGTTGCAGTTTGTCCCCAGCCCCGGTTGGGGTCTTGTGGGTGGCAGCCAGTCGATGTGTCTCTCTCACATTGATATGTTTCTCTCTCTCTCTCCAGCTCTATCTGAAGATAAGTGCAAAAATGTCCTTGGGTAAGGATAAAAAAATAAATAAATAAAGTGTGTAAGCAATACAGTGTCCATTGATGAATGAATGGATAAGCAAAATGTATATACACACAATGGAACATTATTCATCCTTAAAAAGGAAACAAATAGGGATGAACCATGTGGACAATATAGTAAGTGAAATAAGCCATCACAAAAAGACAAATATTCTATGATTCTACTTATATGAGGTCCTTTAGAAACAGAAAGTAGAATGGTGATTCCCAGGGGCTGGAGAGAGTGAAGAGAATGGAAGTTGTTGTTTAATGTGTATCGACTTTCAGTTTTTTTAAGGAAGAAAGAGTTCTGAATGTAGATGGTAGGGATGGTTGTACAACATTAGTACCACCGAACTGTACACTTAAAAAGTGTTAAGGTAGTACATTTTATTTTATTTGTATTTTACCTCATTTTTTTAAATTAGGGGGATAAAAGAAATGAACTACTGAGCCATGAAAAGACACGGACAAACCTTAAATGCACATTACTAAGCAAAAGAACTAATCTGAGCATCTTCACACTGTATGGTTCCAAGCGTACAACATTCTGGAAAAGGCAAAGCTATAGAGACAGTATAAAGGT